ATTTGAATATGAAGTGTTTGTATACAGAATCCCTGATTCTGTTACAAAAGGCATTTACTGTATGTTTTCTTAGGTTTTTAACAGTGTTACAGCAGGACGTTCAGAAGATGATGTGCCTTAAAATTGGGTAGATAGCTGTGTAACTTGAATGTGGACATGATATAACTGCCAAGTAACAATGCAAATATGGTGATGTCATTTTTAATGGCTGTTTGTCTAAACTTCAAAGTGTTTCTTAAAGGAACTGAAACCTGGTAAGTTTGTTAAAGGTACCTCATTTGACCATCTCTAAAGAAAAACCATCAATGACAAACTTCTGTAGTTAAATCCTGCTTGTTGTTTTCAGCACCAAAAGACTTCATTTCCAGTGTTTTAGAGAAAACAGTGACATGTTCAGATTCCATGCTATTTTTTCCATTTTGGCTATTCCTTGTACCATTAGTTGTATAATTAGAATTATCACTTTGCTCTTAATCTAGAAAGAGTTGGCTGGTTTAAGGTTATTAAGCATTTTTAAAAACAGTAACATAATGCATATTGGAGTCTCTGATCAGCTAGCTTCTGTACTTCCAGCAATTTGAGCTATTCTTGTGTTTACAGGCATGAAGCCACACACTTAAATGATTCCATTTATGTCTTTTATATAACACTGGTACTTGTATATTGCTTTATGGCTCAGCACAGCAGAATTAAATAAATTTTGTAATGAATATGGCTTATGACAATTTTTAGTGGGCTTCCTGTTAAAAATTAAACAGTTCTGGTGAGGTATACAAGGCTTTGTACATTTCCTTTTTTCTTTGTTGGTAAATCTAAAGCTGTCCTCCAAGGTGCAAATAGAAGAAGCAGCCTGTGTTCCCCCTGGTTCTTCTGCTCACTCCCTCCCCCCAAGTTAAATTAGGCTGAAGTTGAATGTTGTGTTCTGCCAGCAAACTCTCAACAGAGTTTTCTAATGGGTTTCTAGAATTAGAGCAATGCATTAGCTAGTGTTTTCAGATGCATTTAACTTTAGGGGTGGAAAGAAATTGACTTGATCTCTGAAATGCCTGAGCTACCATTTGGGGAAGCTTTAATGTACTCTCTTGATTCTGTAGTCTTACTCTATTGAAGTGTAGTGTAGTGTCTTTTGTTTTTCTCTAATTAGTTAAATTGTAGATGGTTTATATATCCACAGTTCTGTTTCTCAGAAGAATGGTGTGGATGCATAAAGGAGGTCCAAGTGAATACAATAACTTAACTATTTAAATTAGTAAGTATTCCATCCTTTCTTTTTCATGCTCATGCTTTAATTGGATAACTATCTACTAACATAGCACTGAGCAGGTGCAGAGGTAAGGGAGAGGAAGGGAAGGAAATTGAGAATTGTGATTCTCTAAACAGTACTAATTTGGCTAGTGGTGGTTGTTTCCAGCTGCGTAGGAATATGCATGTGGTAAACAGTTAAGAGTTCACAGTCTGCTTCTGTTCAAGGTGGGTGACAAATGCACATGTGAACTAGAAGTTTTAGATTCCTTATTGAGATACAGCATGTTGATGGCATCTTGGTTGCATTACAGTAGCTAAAATACCAGAATTCAACATTTCAATTCAATTTCTTTTCACTTCTTGCTGAAGCTCTGAAATGTGATTTCAACCCTGTCAGTAGTTCTGCAGTAAAAGGATCTACATGGCTGCAACCAAATGTTTTAAAGCCAGTTGCTTCTGGTGTGTAGCCAGAAACTAAAGATTCTAATTTCAAGCTCTTCCTGTGATGATCTGTCAACTGAAATGATTCTTAATGTACTCTAGCTGCTTGTGGTTTTTTCAGGTGCAGGCAATGATTTAAGAGCTACATGACTCACAGAGACAGAAAGCTTCATAAGCTCAGATTTTCTATGGGGGCTCTTCCATAAATCTTCTACACTTGTTTTGCCAGTGAATTAAATGTTTTTAATTCCTTTCTAGACAAAGCTTATCAGTTGGTTGGATTTTTTGGTGGCAAGGTAAAATTTCTAGATGAGGAGGACTTGTGGAATGTGTCCTTCTCTCCTTCCTGTTATGGGACAAACTCTTTGGATTTCAAGGTTTGTTAAGCTGAAAGTGGCAATATAGCTATAGCAGTTGGAAACACTTGTGTGCTGCAGTTATGTCTCTGCAGTCTCATGCTTGGTTGCCTTCTTGTGTCAATGTGGCCATTTCCCTGACATAGTACATAGTATGCTAATACCTTATTCATCACAGTCTTGGGGGAGGGTCATAGCAGTCTTATCTACCAATAGGCCAAATAATAAACATCACCAAACAAAAAGGCGGATGAAGATGCCTCAGTAGGCCAACTACACTAATAAAAGCTTGATTTGGAAAGTGCCTTGAGAGACCATATAATCTAGCCTCCTAGTTTTACTGTGTTCGTTATCACCTCTATTAGAGGTTTGTCTAACAGATTTACAGCACAAGACTTGATAGCATTGTCAAGCAACCTAGAACCGTTTACCTTACCTCTGGAAAGGTATTTCTGATGTGTAATCTGGCTGTTTTTTTTGCAGCTAAGGCCTTTTTCTTATACAGATGTGGGAAAAAAACACTTTACTGAGAGCTTGATCCACATGGGGAAAGAAGTATGACCTATTCAATGCCGTTTCTTCAGCATAAACATCACTGTTTCATGTTTTGGATCCTATTTCTAGGGTTTTCTCACAATTCTCATTTAAGATTCTCCTCCAGTCAGTTGATCTCCTCTGATTTACAGCACCCTAAAATGGTTGTAGGATTCCAAAGTGAGTCTTGCTGTGGCAAACTTTTAGGCAGGCTGTGTGTACATAAGCCCTGCTTGGTGCTTGACTTACATATAATAAATTGTCACTGAATCATGTTTGGACTGTAAACTGCAGTTGTTTAGGCATCATTGCTTGGAGCTGTGGCCTAACCAGCTGTTCAGCAAGGTTTGTCTTAGCCCTGATACTCTACAGATCGGTGATACCTGTGTTCTTGCAGCAGGCCTATCACTAGGCTTGTGTTGCCTTTTCTTTTCCCACCTCTGATAGAGGAAGCTTACAGCTTGAACTTGGATAGCTGTTGTCTGCCAGGAAATGCTTATAGCAATTATCAGCTGTGGAATTACTGGTGATCATCCTGTTTACCCAGGCATTGTGGTAGGACAGATTGTGTACAAAGCTATGCTTTTCTAGGTTTGAAGTCTCACAATGACTGAGCTTGGTTAGTCTCTTGAAGATGTCAATGAGCAAACATTTTCTTGCCCTTTATGTTATCAAACTTCAAATCTTTGAACTTGTCATCCAAAGATGACTTTTTTGGAACTGCTGAATTAGTGTTCTTTCATAGAAACTCTTAGTGTTGTGAAAACAGATGAACCATTTTATCTGGAACTTCATATAAAAACTTTGCTTGAGGCAGTTATCTGTCAGTATCAAATTCCAGTGGTTAAGTCTGAGGTTGTCCACACAAAGTATGTGGTGATAACATTATAGTGGAAACTGCTCACAGTTTTTGTGCTGAGCTGTCTTAGGAAGCTCTCCCAGTCTCTAATTATAAGAAGGGACCAGACCGTAGATCAGGTAACAGACTATAGATCACTTAACAGCATAATGGAAACTCAAAGGCTATCTACAAATCTGTGGGAGTTGGGTATATGTTTTGCCTTACTACTGAACTGCCATACAAGAGTTTCATGTCTCTTCCCTAATCTATAGAGAGGCATTTTTAGTAGCAGTACAGGTAGTAAGGTATTAAAGTCCAATAGAACAACTGTAAAAAGCTTACATGGAGCAAATTATGTGCTAGGTATAATTCTACAGTTAAGAAAACAGAAGGATACTGATTGTGTAAGGGTGGCTTGCTTAAGTTAAGCTTCTGCTGTTTTCACTCTTTCACCGGAA